AAGAAGCAGAACACTAGCTGAAAGCTAAGGACAGCAGAACACTAGCTAAAAGCTAAGGACAGCAGAACACTAGCTGAAAGCTGAGAAAAGCATAACACTAGCTGAAAGCTAAGAAAAACAGAACACTAGCTGAAAGCAAGAACAACAATAGCAGAAAGCTGTAAGAAGCAGAACACTAGCTGGAAGCTAAAATAAGCAGAACACTAGCTGAACGCTAGAAGAAGCAGAACATTAGCTGAATGCTAGAAGAAGCAGGACACTAGCTGAAAGCTAAGAAAAGCAGAACACGAGCTGAAAGCTAGAAGAAGAACACTAGGTGTAAGCTAAGGAAAACAGAACACTAGCTAAAAGCTGGAAGAATACTAGCTGAAAGCTAAGAAAAACAAAACACTATATGAAAGCTAAGAAAAACAGAACACTAGCTGAAAGCTAGAAGAAGAACACTAGCTGAAAGCTAAGGAAAACAGAACACTAGCTAAAAGCTGGAAGAACACGTGTAAAAGTACCAAAAAACTAACTTAAAGTATCAAAAGCTAGCAAGATAATGAATATTGCAAAGGCTAGCTCAAAGCTAAAAGCAGAAAAATGTTAGCTGAAAGCAAAAAGCAAAACACTTACAATGAGCAACAAAAGGTAACCTAGTAGCTAAATTTAACAAAATGACAGCTAAAAATAGTAAATCACCAGGTAAAGCAACAAAACTTTAGCCCCAAGTTGCAAAAGGTACAACTAGAAGCTGAAAAGTATCAAAATATTAGCAAAAAGTAGAACAATTTAAAAGCTAAAAGCAGCAAATTAGTTATTGTCTACACAAAAAAAGGTAAAGATAGAAAAAAAAAACGTACCGTAGCAAAAAAAAAAATAAAACTCCAGCAAAAATCCACAAGTGGATGAACTTTTTCAAACAGAAAAACATTTTGAATGAATTGAAAGGATTAAAATCTATTTCTATGGATAAAATATATTGTGTATATAAAGTTAAACATTTTTTAAAAATTACAACAAAAGTCAAGAGTGCCTTTTTCCTGAATGAGCTGAACGCTTCGAGGTAGGAACAGCTAAAATAACACAAAGTTTGCAGAAGCAGCAGCAAGATGTGCTGAAACATGCAGACACACAAAGACCCTCGTTAAAACATTTATTGATCATTTTCTGACTAGAGGAGGTTTTAGGTGGGGTCATCTGTCAGGACGGACCCGATGGGGCGTGTCGGTACAGCAGAGTCGGTCACAAGTTGTTTTTAATTCAAACCGTCGTGCACACCGTACGGTACTCAGAGGCTGCTAACGATGAGCTGTGACAGAACGAGCCGCGCTCTCCCAGCATTCCCAGCTCAGCAGCATGAGTCATCCTGAAATAAACAGGGCAGCAAGTCACATCCTGTCATGTGTCTTCACTTCTTCCCTGCACCGCCGTGCACGTGTGCAGAGAGAACGCTCGGAAATAATCTGGTTACCAGCTTCGAATTTAAATAGCCTCTTCGAATTGTTTAATCTGCTCTGATTGGTCGAGCTCATCTGGCTCGTCCTCGCTCTGGATTCTTTAAATCACATTTGAAGCTCCGCAGAGACCCGAACGGGCCGGTTCTGTACAGCTCCAGCCGTCGTTCACCACGGGCCTAAACTGAACGAGCTCCGACCGAGCAAAGTTCCAGAAACACCGAACGGCACACAGGCCTCAAATGTGCCTCTTCTCGAAGCAGACGGGGGCAACGTGTGGTCCGAGGGCCAAAAGTGGCCGTTGGACAATCTCCACCCGGTCCCCATTATCCTTGAGTGAAAAAACAACAACCTTCAAGAAGTTCATGAAAACCTGCCAACGAGACGGAATGAACGCTAACCATGCTACAACAGAATAAAGCCTGAAAAAGTCTTCCAGATTATTTATTCTCTAAGTGGCCCTTTGGTTGATTTAAATATGTTTATTCGACCTGTCTTAAAGAGTTTGACCCACCTGGGCTTCCATCCCGATGGTGCCTTCAAAGGCAGCAGGAAGTATTTAAACTGAACGACAACAGAGAACGTTTGTTGTTCCTTCAAATATAAAATGTGCTGCAAAATATTAAATCTGCACCTCGTTAAATCCCAATTAAACTGCTTCAGTTCAGGTGTGTTTAGGGATTACATATCGCCACCTTCATAATTTGCGTTTTAGTATTTAGCTGGTTTAATTTGATACCTAATTAAAGTAAAACCTAACGGAGTCACTAAGGTCTTGAGCTTGGTTCGGTGGATTCTCTCGGCTGTTTTCTGGTCATTTAAACGCTGAAACAAACGTCTTCTGTGCGTTTTTATTTCCCTTCAACGAGCCACAAAGTGTTTGTGAGGAGGCAGAAAAAAGCTGATGTTTGAACTCTCGCTGCAGGAGGCCGGATCAGAACCAAACCACAACGCCTTTTAATCACTTCCAGGTTGTGTTGAGGCGCCCGTTTACAAGCACTCGGTCCGTGTCATCATTAATGGCCTTTTTAAACTCACGGTTCACGACTGAAACTCCCCAGAATCCATGAACATGTTATAAATGTGTCTTTTTCTGTTTTTCAGCAGCGTTGACTGCCCTGGGTGTAGAACATGGGACAGGACGGTCTTGTGATCTCCGAGTGTGACTTTGAGCTCATGTGATTCCAGTTTTCACGGTTAGTTGTCGGAGCATTCGGGAGTTCTGAAGTTCCTGAAGCCAGCCCGTCCCCGACAGGGACATGAGGCCTTGTTGTCCTCTCCACGGGGGAATGTCTCACGCTCCTCTGACAGAACTGTGCTCCGTCACGTCTCTGTCTTCCAGATCTACAGTTGGATCTGCAGGATGGATGTCACAGAAACTAATGTACCGCCCCCTTTTGACCTCTGACCTTTACTTCCTGCTTCCTGCCCCCCTTTGTTCACTCCAGCAAACTAAATGTGTTTGTAACTTCTGCTACTTTTAGCTGTTAGACAGCTTTTTGCTACTTTTAGCTTTGAGCTCACCTTTTGTTGCATTTATCTTTACACTATTGCTTTTTGCTACTCTTGCTATTTCAGCTTTTAGTTAGCCTTTTTCTACATTTAGTAACGTTTCTAATATGTTTGGCTTTTAGCTAGCCTTTGGCTACCTTTAGCTTCAAGCGAGGCTTTCACTACTTTAGCAATCCTTTTGACATGTTTAGCTTTTAGCTAGCCTGTAGCTATGTTTAGCTTCCAGCTAGACTTTCACTACTTTAGCAGTTCTCTTGATATTTAGCTTTTGGCTTTCCATATGATGCAATTATCTTCAAGCTAGCCTTTCACTACTTTAGCAGTTATTTTGATATATTTAGCTGCTGGCTTGCCTTATGAGTCAGAGTTTCTTTATTGTCATTCGCACCTCGTGTGGTACATGTGGTGGAGCGAAATTATGTATGATACAGTTAGCTTTTAGCTTCTAGCTAGACTTTTACTACTTTAGCAATCATTTTTATATTTAGGTTTTAACTTGCCTTTGGCCACTTTTAGGTTTAAGCCAGCCTTCCACTACTTTAGCAATGCTTTTGATATGTAGCTTTTGGCTTGCCTTATAACACAATTAGCTTTTAGCTAGCCTTTGGCTACTTTCAGCTTCAAGCTAGGCTTTCACTACTTTAGCAATCCCTGCTTTGATATTTAGCTTTTAGCTAGCCTTGCTGCTTCAGTTTTTAGCCTTTTGCTACCTAACCTTTTGCTGTTTTTAGATAACAGGCGAAGAAGAAAACGCTGAACTTTGGCGCTGCTCTCAGTGTTTAATCTGAAAATGTTTTCTTTTAAAAAAGAAGCTTCGGTTTAGTTTAAAAACTGGACCCTCCTATTTTCGAGCTGCTTCTCAGTTTTTTGTAGGATCTGACTCACCGCCTGCAGGAGCAGATCAAAAGTCCCCAGGAGTCCTCCAGACGTTTCAGTTTTTCATGCTGGGCTGGAGAATCTGTTCACCCAGTTTCTGAACGTCCTTCATTGATCCAAAAACTTACATCTAAAACTCTGAGCTTAAAACAAGAAAAAAGAAAAAGAGAAAACTCTGAAGAAGTTCTGAGAGTCCACATGGAGCTTCAGCCAACCCAAACTCCTTCACCCCAGAACCCTGCAACAACTCACACTCCCTCCTCCCACTGTCCTCGTTTCATCTGACACACACACACACACACACACACACACACACACACACACACACACA